TCTATACATATAATAGGTTTAATTCATATTTTAAAGGATGTCTCTTAAAAATTAAATATACTTTCCTGTATATTATTGTAATTTTTCAGAATTTTGTTAGCTGCCTCGTGTAATTTTTTTGTTCGCAGTTTTCACTAAGTTAGAAGGCAACAGCATACAATCTTCAAGTGAAAAAAATTTGGATAGAGGCTGATAAGGAATAAATTTACTGAGAGGTATAAACGGGGTTTGTGAATCTTTTCCCGAACAACAGCCAAACAACGGTTCGTCATCTACCAGAGCTTGTAAAGTGCACGCCAATGAGATTCATATAGCAAGAGTCTGTTTGCAAATTATTTGAAAAGTGTTAAGACCATATGTTAAGGCAATGGGACAGTGGCGGCTCGTGGTAAGTTACATTATCTCTGCATCTTGTGTTTGCGCTAGATAAATCAAATGCTATCACATTACAACACTAGCCCTTTTTGGTAATTATAATAAATCAGTTACAGCTTGTAAATGGAATGTATCCTACATAAAAATTGTATCAGCAAAAGGAGCAGAAGAAATATATCCCTCAAAACCATACGAAGCCATCCAACGAGCATCGAGTGAAGGTATTGACAAAGTCTTGCGAGAAAAGTGTAGAAATTTTAGAAAATGTTCGTCAATAATTATCTATCGAAATTGTTAGAATTGATGTATATTGGTCTGTAATGTGTATTATATATTCTATCAAAATAAAAAATAAAGAATATGTAATAAAACGTTCTTTATTGAGTTTGCTATAAACCCGACAGGCCAGGCCATTGACTGCATTCATTCATGTTCTATGTATGTGTGTGATTGGATTTTATGACTGCGGATAATACCCATTAGCCTATTATGTATTAATGTTCTATGAATATCCTAAAAACGTTCTGTTTGTTTCTTTTGGTATGTCCTTTCTAGAATGTTCTTAAAACATAATATATAGTATATACTTTGAAAGTATATTCATTAAGGGTGGCGACCAGCCGTATCTCAGAACATCTTGAAGTAGATTCTTTTTTGAAAGAAACGCAAAAACTGGTCAATTTTTATTTCAAGGGGGACACCTTTCTATACAACATAACACGTCCTTTTGTGTAACATGTATACGATATTTCAGAAACATTTTCAGTGAAATATTTAACTAAAATATTTCAGAAATATTTCAGAAACGTGTGCTTGAAATGTTATGTTTGAAACGTTTGAAATATTTCTGAAAAATTTCTGAAATAATGTGCGCTGTGTATGGGGAAAGAGCGGGGCCCGACCAGGAAAATTGTCCCCGGGCCCGACCTGGCTCTCGGCGTACACATTTATTTTAACAAAAGTATATGAGAGCTTTTCCGGATAAGTTGTTAATGAAATGCTCCCAAGATCTATAGCCGTTTCTTACAGATTTGGGAAGAAAGACATGAAAAAGATATATTCAATTAAATTAAGGTGATAAAGACTTTCATGAAAAAATCGCTTGTCTGGTAGCCGACCGCTTAGATTAAAATTTTCCTAATGTAACAATAGCTATTTAGATGTATCTAACATTATCAGTGTCGGTTGCTGACGATGAGTGATACTTCACCCAGATAGCACACGACGTCTGAAAGACGTCTTTATTGTGTCTTGGTTTGGTCTCAATGTCCTAGGACGTTATTAAGACGTCTTATAAGACGTCTGTCAAAAGCCATAATTCAGGCGTATTAATGTGAGAGCTCAAAGACGTCTTAAAGACGTCTTTCCAAATCCATATCTTAATGTGAAAGCACAAAGGCGTCTTACAAACGTCTTTCAGTCGGACGGAAACTTGTACGGTTTACATAATTCAAATTTAAAAGAAGAATCAAATGAAGTGAAGTTTGACGTTTAACTTAACACTACAATCAAGCCCAAGCTTATTGTGAATTATTGATTATTCTATTGCGTACGCGATTATAGCCGCCAAAAGTGTGTTTGGGCTACTTTGTGCATGGTCTCTTTTTACTTAAATAATATGGGACTAAAACCACAGAAGGAAGAATAGTGGAGTTTCTGTTACCGATGTATCACGTTCCTGGAATACTTTTTACAGGTAATAAATGAATATTTGTTTATATACATAAACATTAATATCCTGTTTCTTCTAAATAAGAATAATTAAATGAATTAAAAAGTAAATATCTTATATAAAATTTAATTCAGTTATTCGTCAATATCCTTTTTTTTAATTTTATGGTAATTTCGAGAACTATTGATATCAAAAGCCACATGTTAGATAGCCATTTTGAGTGAAGTTAAAGTAAAATTGTCAAAATAGGCGATTAAGTATAATAGCTCATCTTGTCTTAAATGATTTGTTATAAAAATTAATTTAAAATTGTAAGAAATTAATTTTTTGTTTTGTTTCATAATTGTTCTTTTGGTTTTTACTAACTTTTACAAAGTTTAACTTCCTGTGACTATAATGCTCTTACCTAAATTTCTTTTTAGGAGCGACTGTACAAAGGCAACTTCAAATCAAAAAGAAAGAAAAAAATCAATCCAGTTATGGCTAAAGAGGAGTGATCGAATGCGCTACTAAGAAAATAATTCTTAGTGACCTGTGATTAATATATATTTTATCAATAAATATTTTTAATTCTATTTTTTGCAATCTTTATAACCTGAAAGGTTATATTCTACTAATTTTAATAACCAAGATGCACGATGATAAATTATTTTATATTATTATAAACAGGTTATAGAATTAGCAGAATAAAAATAATGAACGTGTTATTTATGGCTTATTTAAGTTTAACCAGACCTTTATAAGCCATTAATAAGGCGTCTTAAAGACGTCTTATTTATCAAAATATTGGGTTCTCCTATACTCTTCGCCGCATTCCATTTACTATTAATTTAACAGCTTCCAATTCATCATCATCATCCCTTAAAAACAAATCTATTTTAATTTTGACAACACCACACCAAATTTTTAAAATATAATGTTTTTTCACGTAGTTATATGAATATGAAAAGTTTGTCACACACTGTCAATTTTCTTTCGTTAAGATTTTAAACCTCAAATATTTATAGTTTAGGTAAACTCATAATCACTACTACTTAACGAAAACAAATTCGAGAGACGCTAAAATGAGACTGAGGCCTACAAGGGTAAACCCGTAGCGTAACAAAAACGAGAAATGATTTAACTTGGAACGAAAGACCGAAAGCTGATAATAGTATTAGGACGTTGATTTTTTTTTGTGAAGCATTGGCATTACTTAGGTTAAACCATGTGATGATTTTCACAAGCCTTGATTTTTAAAACATCCCATCAGATCTATTAGAAAAATTCAATATAATTCACAATATCACACAACTATAAAACAAGAAGCCAATCTGACATTCATGTATGGCAAGCCATCACTAAAAGTTCCCAAAATACAATTTTTATTAGAGGTTTAAAAAATTTAATAGACTGTCTACAGAATTAAAAAAAAAAAACAACAATAAATGTATTCAAAAGTAACCTCAAACAATACTTGATAAATAAACAGAACGGATATACTTTCTTGTGATAATACTCTTTAAACCTGCCCTTTTTAAGTATTTCCCTTAATTTATTGTTATTTTACCTCTTGTTTTACTACTTACTATGTTTAAATTATTAATAGTTTTGCGACGATAGGTTATGGCAACTTAGAGCCACAAAACTATTTTTGTGTTAAAGTAGATCCATAGAGAGCAATGCAATTTACAAAGGCCTTCTTTCAACATACAAATAAATGACAACTTTATAATTAAAATGAAAAACACAACAGAATACCTCGGTATCATAATTGATCAAAATTTGAAATGGGTTGATCACATTACGTCATTAAAATCCCAAGGTATGAAGATTCATTTTTAAATTTTATGAATTGCGGAAATTTATGACTAGGAGTTTACTAATTATTATTTACAATTCGCTGGTTGAATATGTAATCCAAAACTGTATAATTAAAATTATCTACAAAAAAACAGCACTAACTCTCTTTTATATAATAAAAAAGTGCTTTGTATAAGAACATTATATTATTTGTCTTGCTGTACTTTTATTTATGGAAGCAATGAATTGAGATACACTACCAATTATTTGCAATAAATATCAAAAGAAGCATACATTTTTAAATAATTTGACATTTAAGAGCCATTCACACATCACAGTTTACATCTTGATACTTTTTGCCAAATGAAATAGCCGGTTATTCTATGGGATTCTGACTGAGAGTCAGTAAATTTGATGGTGTTTTTGTGGCTAGGGGCAAAATAGTAGTACGCTTAAGTTAGCACCACCATAAAAAAGTCACTTTTAAGAAACTGCTTATATATTTTTCATAAATTGGCAGGCTTGGCGACTAATTTTGAATAAAAATGGCCTTCAAAATGGCAAGTATGAAGGTCGCAACCCGCCTTAGAAATTTCACCTTTACTATTAACAGCTGTTGTTTGACAGGTTGTTAGAGAATATTTGCAATTTATGGAATGTTGAGAATGTTAAGAATGTTGACGTTAGAAATAATTGGAATTCCTAAAATTGTCACATAAGAATTTGTTAGGCGGATTTTAAGAAAATTGATATTAAAGTAGTTAGGATGAACCGAAAATTCTGAAAATCAATAGGGTTCTAAGTTAGAAGTAATTATTCAAGAAAATTGAAACCGTAAGTCAATCAAAACTTTCGTTCTAGAGCTACTGTGCAGGCATACATACACACAGACGACCAGACGAACATTTTTTTTTGCATTTTCGTACTCGGAATAATCGGAAACATGAAAAAAAGTTTTAAAAAATGGGGGTAAGAAAATTTGTTCGTCTGCACAAATGCAATACTGTGGCCCCATAGGAAGGGCCTCAGTAAAATGACGGTGCGAATGAAAATGTCACTTAATGTCAATATAACCTTCGCTTATCGCTTAACGAATGGCCCTATGACTGTGACGGGTGACTTATAATTAATTTTAATGTTTGAAATCAGAAGGTAATTTAAAAAAAACACATTAAATTTAAAACTTTATAAATTGTAAAAAATAGATGCCATACATAAATTACAAAAGTGGTACACTTATAAAAACAGATCATTGCTTAATATCAACTGCATTACAGAACCATTATTATTTTATTCTGGTTACTTTTCGCAAAAAGAAAAGCATGACATTAAACTTTTAATTAGTACACATATACAGTTTTTCATCAACAGATATTTATTATTTGTCTGTTGGGTAAAATAAATCGTTAATAAATTGATCGAAAAAATATTTGTTTTGTAACGCAGGTGCACTCAGATTTTAATACATCAATAACAGTTATTGAATGAATAAATAAATAATATAAATATTTCTTAACAGATAAATGCGTATAATAATAAAATTATTTATTTCGAAAATGCTGGTACTTTAAAATTCATATATTCGTGAGATTCATGAGAATTTACGGCTATGTTCATATATTCATTTGAAGCTGATGCTTGGTCCTTTTGCTCGTCTAAACCTGTAAAGAAAAAACAGTTTATAAAATGCTGAATGGAATGGAAAAATTAATTATTATAAATAAGTATGAAATACCTGAAACTGGCAATCCTGAAGGAGGAAATTCAATATAAAATTCATTACGTATGTTTAGGGTATCGGGACGAGTCACAGGTTTCTCCTAAAAATTAATATTGCATAATTTTCAGAAACATGTACAGTGTGGTCCAAATTAGATAAAGTTGTTGCAGTCACTTACCTCTATTGTTTCAAACGTATGTTTTGTTGGCAGAACTTTAACAGGCTTCGGTGCCGGCAATGTATTATAATTAAGTTCTAGTACTGCTTTGTTTAACTTGTGTCTGAATTCGTCTTCTGAACCACCATTTACCATTAGCTGAAATAGAAATAAATATTAATACCTTGTCTTAAAATTATCTATATGTTATTTATGTTTATTTATTTGAAAATAGGAATATAGTATATTACACACCGAGGTGGGAAGAGATTCATTCCTGTCGTGAGATTAGTTAGATCACCGAGACGCGAAGCGTCGAGGTTAGCTATGATCTCGAGACAGGAATGAAACTTCCTTCCGAGGTTTGTATACTATTTTATTTACAACCATCATATTTCGATCAAAGTTAATAAATCTCTGTTTTGTTCTGAACATACCTAAAATATTACATTTAACGACAAATTACCAAGCGCGCGGTTTTCTCAGAATAATCAAGTAGGTAAATATATTGTTACTGTGATTACGGGGTAAACAACTGTCACCAATATAAATAAATGTCAGATAAAGCAGGATATTAAATTCGCGAATAATAAATATCAATAAGTAGCTTGTTATATTTTAGATCATTGTTGTTTTTTATTGTTTGCCATTAAATAGGTATTATAAAATTTTGTCAAACACTGTGTTCTTTTTTTAAATATAAAAGTAGAGGTGTGTAATGTGACACTTCCCAACCTTCAATGACGTTAGTAATGACAACATTACATATATGGTTGTAAATAAATAATTTTTCACTCGAGCAGCTAGAATAGAGAAGGGAAAAAGACAAAAATGTGGACCAAATCCATAAGTCATTTCATAGAAATATAACTTATAATGAAATGTTCTAGCTTAATGGTCGGCAAACTCATTAGTCAACGGAGCCAAGTAGCAACAGTAAAGGTAGATTCATACTATAGGTCTGGTCACGGTTCGGTCGCGGTCAGGTTTTTTTATGAACTATTCACACTGTTGCGGTCGCTCATCAGTCTTTTGTCAGTTTTAAAACAAGCAATGTTTTCAAAGTTTTGAACAAGTGACCTGGCCATAATGGCTTACATCCTAGATGAGGAAGAGAGAAACGAAAGCTCCAAAAAAATAAGTTCAAAATATTCGCAGAAAGAAAGAGTGCGGTCAATTGACTAGATCGTTACCTGACCGTGCAGAGTAATATGAATACTTTAATACAAATTGCGTATTCTAATATTTGACTGGACCGCGACCCGACCGTGATCTGACCGTGACCGGACCTATAGTATGAATCTACCTTAAACGACTGAAAATTCTTTTGAGAGCCAAATTTTTTTAAACTTAAACTATATAGGTAGGTAGATTGGGTACTGCTAAGCTGGCCTTTGCTAAAAGCGTCCTTAATCTGAATGAAGTACGTTCGCTGAGGTCGACCCTTTCCAACTCTCTCATCCACACTCGTCTTGTAAACTTGTTTCGCTTATCATCTTTTATCTTTTATATAGATTAGGAAAAAATTATACGAGCTATAGGCTATAGGTACTGCTAGTTAGTGAACATCCATCTCTATGTTTTGTGTACGACTACTACCTCTCCTGCGACCTGCGAGCGTACGATCTCATAAAAAGTTCTATTTAGTAATGCATAAATTATCGTGGGTATAGTGAAAAATAATAGCTTGATTTTAAATTAAATCCTAATTTTTTAACCATTAAGTTTACCATCAATAAAAAAGGGCCAATAAAGTGGTCCCTTAAAATACCAGTGCAACCATTTAATTTCTTGACTTGTCGGTAAATACAATGTATTTTAAAACGTTTTTATTTTGACTCTGTCGAAGAGTCAACCATTCCCGAAATACTGGTACGTTTTCACTCGAAATAACCGAAATCACTACAAATTTTCTCGAAATTTTCGAAATCATCATCGAAAATCATGGTCGAAATCATCACCGAATTCACTTTGAAATCAATTCGTCGCTCAAAAATGTAAATGCAGAAGTTTGTGGATCAAAATACAAGGGAAGAGCCCAAAAAAAGTTCATCTTATACAATATTATGGAGGATTTTTCAGCGAAATCACCAAAATTACATAAACATATTTAGGTGATTTTCGAAATACGGGTACGTTTTGACCGTAGTGATTTCCCCCTCGGATTTGTCATAATTTCGCAAAACTCTACAAAAAAAAACAAAGTTACAAAATTATGCTATACTTGCAATAAGTAACGAGTATGTATGTTTATTTCGATGTTTATTTGTACATACTCGTATTCACCGATTTGATTACGATGCTCTCCGACGTTTTGCGAATAATTGCCTGCAAATAATAGAAATGTTCGTACCTATACCGTATCCCAGTAAAACACAAATAGTTGGCATTCGCTCGGCCTGACACCGGGATGTACGGGAGCCGAGCACTCGAATTGCCATTGTCGAGGTTGCTTCTGAGCCGGGAGAACCATACCATTTGACGTAATTTAGAAGTAGAAACCGCACGTGGTCCATATTTGGCTTTCCAGAAATGGGAAGCATCCTTACGGGCCGAACGTGGTGAATATTTGGCTAGCCGGGCATGGGAGGCATCCTTACGGGCCGAAATATATGTAGATATATGAACGCGGCTACAATGTAGTGGGCTGCCGATATTTGGCTGGGCGGACATGCCCTAACTATATGCCGAAGCTGCACCCGTATATCGGGCCGAGTCTGGCATCCGGCAAGCCTTCTTCGGCCCAGTTACGGTGCCGAGATTAACTGTATTTATTGGGATGGTTCGTATAAGTTTTCTAAACTTGTATATCCAAACCATCTCAACATACCTTTCTCAATATTTGAAACTACATCTTCTTTTACTCCACAACACTTTCTTGAAATTAACTTAATAAAGTTTAAACTTTTTAGTTTTTAGTTAAATTATAGGTGCGTTAAGTTTTTAGTTAAATTATAGGTGCGTTGAATAAAATTTGATATCATACTTAATAACGATATTATTTATTAATAAAATTAAATGTTAGCATATCGATCTTAATTCTAACACCTCGTAACCTACAAAGAGTAAATTTTACAGTAGAGGGAAAAAACTCAATCCTGACACATGTATCGTGTGGGTTAGGATTTGATAGAAATTGCGGGAATCAACTAGAAATAGTTTTATTTGGGACAAGAGGTTTTAGTAACCTATTCGCTCAGTGCGAAGTCGGCAAAAGCGATACTAGCGCTAGCTGCGGATATTTCGTGCATTTTAGGGCGATATTTTTTGTAATCTTGGCATATCAACTATACGTATACATTTTAATTTTTTTTTTAAAAAAGAGGTAAAAACAATACAATAAGCAACCGGAGTTGCTGTGTTGTAAATTGTAAAAATACTAGCAAAAAAACAGAGTAAATTATAAAAATGTTTAGTAGCAAAGTGGAAATTATATCAAAGAAATGAATGGATAGCTGCACAATAAGAAGAAAAATTATCTTTATTTTTGTAAAAATAACAGTAATACTGGAAGTAGCAGTAGACATCAGAAACTTGAAAGTTTTTAAATAAACAATACATTATCATTTTACGATGTTCTTTAAGATCCCTTTAATCGTAAATGTTCCGCAAGAACTAGATTTCTGCCTTTGAGTATTGTATGTGGCTGAAATGCAATTTTTTGACTTAATGATAGGAAACTAGTTCTAATCATTCATTCTATGTTTTCTTTTGAACAAAAATGAAAATATAAATAACAATCCTTTTGTTTATATATTTTAACTTCACGCTATTATTTAATTTTTTTTTTATTTTGACAGAATAGGTTAATTCTTTAAAGACAGCTTATTAGACTTAGGCAACTTCTCATACATTTTCCTGATGCTTTCCTGTAAATACTGTTGCATGACAATATTTTATTATTGATTTTTATTGATTATACTTATTTTTTTTTAGTATAAGCGTTAAAAATATATAATAATAATAAATTAATGTTTCATAAATCCATATACTTTTATTAAAACTAACATATATACTTTTTAATTACGAATTCTATTAAAAAGTGTATTGTCAGAATACCGAGAAATAGTCCATTAGTACATAAATGAATTGGCGCTGCAGTCACGCACGGAGCTAATAGTGTCTATCTTTTTTTATTGAATAAACGTAAAAACGTAAATTCGTAAACATTGTGGGTGGGACTTGTTAGAATTAAGCCATCGATATTTAAAAGTGTTTTGAAATAGGTAATGTCAATTTCACAATCTCAACACGTTTGGAAAGTAATACAAAATAGAACATTGAAGGTAAAGCAAAGAGCTTTGAACAGAGGCAGGGGAAAGTGATAACTGCAGGTGTGCAGATTTTTACTACAATTCTAGTCTTTTCTGAGCGGATACGTGCTCAGGAGGAATATATTGTCCTAGACATGTTGTTTTTGGAAAGTCGCTTCAGAGTACTCGCCTAAAGATAAAGTCACATAAACACCAACTAAGTATAAAAAGTAAGAAACGCAATCATCACGAAGTTTCAGTCGTACTATATGTGCGATCCGGCATGTTGTAGATTGTGGGAGAGCTACACTCAAGGGGCCAAAAAGCCGCATGCGGCTCGCGAGCCGTGGTTTGCCGACCCCTGTTCTAACTTATTATGTTGCTTTTATTAAATGACCTGCTAGCGATGCCAGGAAAGTAATTTTTCTACTATAGGTTTCCGCTATCTCAGATGTGGAATTCGACAGGGAACATTGTGCTCTCTTTTATCATTAAGCCTAGACAGATCGCTCTTTCTTTTGTCTGGTATATGCTCCCAAGTATAATATCCTTGGATTCTGTAGTGCCACACATTCCGTCAGAATGGGAATGGAAGTTTCGACCTTCTCTCATAGAATCTGTATTCACTATCTTCTACTCTACTAATCCAAGTTTACTAATAGTCTAAGATCCGAAGTAAGGTCGACCTTCACCCATATGTTTAATGGATGAAAGTTGTCGGCCGTAGTGACCTATATATGACGGCCTTTTAATTATAAAAGTTAAATGTCCATCATTACAATTGGAGGGTAACAGTTATTGCACCTTTTATTCCCCTAGACAAAATGTTTGTTGGGTTACTAAATAATACTGAAGAAGGCAATAATCAGTGCCAAAAGCTATAATCCAAAGTCAAAAGAATTAAAAAATTAAGGTGTAAGAACTAAAGTAAAAAGTAGGCAGTACCCTGACTTTCTTTTTAAAGTATTACTACAATTTTTATAATAGTGTAACATTGGCTAAAAAACTATTAGAACGGAATACTTATTGCACTAGAACATTGAGATTAAATAAAAAAGATAATCCGCCGGAGAGAGTCACAAAAGAGACTCAGAGTAGGAGAAAAAAAAATATGGGAGGAGTCTACTATCTGAGTTATCATAAAATTCTTCGGTGGTACAAAAAACTTGACATTCATATTTTGCAAGCCCTTCTCTTTAACAGACACACACTTTACAACGCTAATAGCCACTCTGGTAACACGGTTACCCTCTTTTGACGGTATCCCAATGGGGACAGTGTTCTGTGAAGTTCGCGGCGTATTGTTTTAGTTTGCCTAGCGCGATCATGTAAGATGGAGCTAACTCAGACAATCGCACTTCCTACACACATACATATAAACGTAGTTTTAACTTACACATAATACAGCCGGTCATTCAGTGGATACATCCTTCTATTCATACGCGAATAAACAATATAAACATTCATTACATTATATCAGTTCATTCGTTTCTTAGTTATATGTTAGTTTCTTGTTCCGATAATAAAAGGTTTTTCACCATAACCTTACGTGCTTTATTATCAATAAGCCACCATGTCATAGTACAGCCACAATAAAATATCCTTGTATAATTTTCCTTTGAAAATAATAGGGAATGTATTACAAATACCACAGAGACCTTCTAGGCCTCATTTTGTGAAAATATGCCAGAATCATTTTCCCGTCCAATATGAAAGAAATGTTCAAAATACACTGAAACGTCGAAGGTGTAAAAACTGTTTTGAAATCCACCAGTTAAGAAAATATTCTGAATTTTATTGTCCAGCTTTTGATGATCAATTTGGATTTTGTCTTTCACCATGTTTTCAGGAACATCATCAGTTTTGAATTACATTCAACAAGTGGCATTCATTGCTGCGCTCAGTATTGCATCAAATATACACTAAGCTTTCATTCTCGATTTTTTTACTATCTCTTGGCCGATAAGAAAGGTCTCCTAAAAAATAACTATGTCACAGGCATCATTTACGTCTTGTCCACTTCTCATTGGTTGCCATTCGCGGCAACTACTTTTATTGGTTTTCGCCACAGGCGTTATGCACTTCTTATTGGTCAATGTCATGCGATACTCAAGCTCGCTCAACAACTTGTCTCCTTCGCGCCATAGCTTCAGTACCTCTCAAAGAAACCACCTCACAGCGTTTTGCGGTGTTAAAAAGGCGACGCTTCGACTGCCATCATGCAATATAACTCTTATACATTAAAAATGGCTTAAATAACAAATTTTCTAGTGAACACTGTAAATAATGTAAAAAATATTTAATCTTAAGTGCACCATGTAGTGAAAAATAAAATCATCCCATTAGTGTGTAAAATAAAGTTCTACATCTCCCAGGTTTATGGATCGCACAGGTATTTTCAAACATTATTATTTAATACAGTCCATGATTATGCCAAGGGCCGAATGTCGGTCCTAGCTAGTTAAGTGAAAACACGGATAGAAAACCTGTATATCGGTCAAACCGCAATTTATTATTTAGTATTAACAAAATAAAATATCAACATTTGCGATCTAGATTATTTTATTTATTATAATTCCTCTGTAATTGTTTATAAAACTGCATTTGGAATAAGTAGCCGCGCGCGTTAATGCTCAATTTTAGTGGGCATTGAAAGTGTTATTGATTATAACACCAAACAAAAGTCAATGGTTTTTAGACCCTAATAACCTTGATTAGTTATAGTTATAATTTTCTATTTCTTATTAGTCTTGTATGTGGGTAAATTCTACATATTAGAAAAAAAATTGAACATGAACAATGTATGCGTGAAGATGTTGCATAAACTTAAAATAATTGTGAATAAACATCTTTAACTGATCCTGGAGAAAATGACTGTGAGCCAACAGATAAAGCGAAATTTTGATTTTATTTGACCTGTATAAACCATTAAAGGGCAAATGGAAGACGTATCGGTCACAGAGAAAAAGCAAAACAAGGATGGGCAACTTCAAATTCAAGTTGATGACTTCTGCTTTCTTCGAGATTAGAGGCATTATCCATATACAAGGTAAAACAGGAAAAACATTTCAAAAGAAGAATGAACAATAAGGTATTTTTCTATCAGGATTATGCGTCAGCTTACAAAGCGCTTTCAGCAAACCCGTTTTCGGCTACATACAATACTCCTGTACGATACAGCACCCATTTTATTCACCAGATTTTGTACACAGCGACATCTAAATGGTTCCCTAAAATCAAATCTACCTTAAAAGGATCCAGTTTTGCATCGCTGCAGGACATATCGACGGGGCTCCTGAAGAGCGTGACAAATGACGTGTCGTAGCACTGCTTATAAGAGTGGACGCTTCGTATCCAGCGCTATAAGGACGAGGAAAGTGATTATTTTTTCATGAAAGTGTGGAATATTTGTTCAGTTGATTTCCATCAATTTGTAGGAAAATAAAGGAACTCGTAAAAACATATATAATGACGTAAATAACAAATAATACCATAGCTAGAATAATTCTCAAAAAAGTTTCAAATTTTCTAGTACTTACTGTTCTATCTTCATTGTCCGACAAAGTTCCACTATCCCCTAAACTGCACCCACTGATGGTGCTCATCCTTCCAGAAGATCCCGAACTGGACGTACTGAGACTACTAATCGGTCTTTGAGTAGATGAATCATTGGTGGCAGTCAAAGCACTCTTTTTATGATGGCATTCTTTGTCCTCTTTATGTTTAGAAAATAATTTCTTCATACGTTCAAACGGAGTCGGCTTCTTCATCGTACTTTTCATTTTATTCTGTATTTGCTCGTATTTTATTCTCATTTCCATGAGCTGTTCTTGTTTCTCTTGAAAGGATTTTTGGACGTCGTTCCGGTTTTTCCATTCGTCAACGAGTTTTTCGGCTTGCGTTATCGAATGGATATTATTCTTGAAATCGTTAATTATTTCCGCTAGTTCCTTTTGAACTTTGTCCTCAAGTTCTTCGCTTTTTTTGGTATGTTTGTTATTCTTTGGTACGAGATCGATTGGGTCTTTGGTAATGGCTGGTGGGTTGAAATTAAACGGATTTTCTTCTTGGATGGAGTCTTCTTTGGTTAGAGAACCTGGAATATAAGATGGATCAGTTTTGATTTTGTAACCACTTATTTGTTTCTTTTTTATTTTTGAAATACTTACCGGGTGTATGCATTGTCATGTATAAATTTGAGGGCCATTTCGTAGTTGGACTCGGTGTCATTGTAGGAGTACTAGGAGTTCCAACAACTGGTTTAGGAGCTGGGCAAAGCTTGTAAAATTCCTGAATAGTTTTTGGCACCATATATCCCTCGTCATCTAAAATAATGCATTTTTCATTGTGCAATAATTGTCAATGACTAAGTAATGTATTTAACAAAAGGCATATACGATTAAATAAGCTGGTCTACCTAGCGACGTACAATCAATTTCTGATTTTACTTTTACTAAAACGATAAAATAATGTTCACGCAATTTTTTCTACAAGATTTAAACATGTAATTTTATAATATATTACTTACCAGTATCCGAAGATTTTGAATTTCCTGAAATTTCCATTAACTTGGCGTACATATTTGTAAATTCATTAATATTCTAAAAATGAAAACATGATTGAGACATTGTAACAAAACTATTTTATTTTTAACGTACCATAAATCCTCTAAACATGATGGCCAAATCAGAAAACCCATTCGCCTCAGCTAATTCTAAAGGAGTCATATCATAAATGTTTCGATATTCGTAAGCTACCTCTGCACCTGGACATTCTAATAGCTGCATGGCAAGCTTCTCAAGACCAAATTTCGCAGCAAAATGGAGGAGGGTAGGAAATTCTTCATGACCTAAAACATAAATAGCATTAATTTCTATCAAAAAAACATGTTTATTCCGCTTGTCATTATTATTTGGAGCTAGAGTATCTAGCCGATATTTTTTCACCGATTTAGTTCCTAATCTAATACTGATGACTGAAAGTAACCATTTTCAGTTGTTCTTCCGTTAATTCTTGGCTTACAAATAAGGATTTTAAATCATCAACAAAATACTTACTATGTTTGTGTCCTTGTATTCCAGCTGCAAATCGAGATTGACAATTTGTTAATAAATTAAAATTGGGCGGAAGGTTCTTCTGGAAGTTATGGACCAACCAGTTATCCAGGTGGTCTTTGTCACTTGGACTAAATCCAACTGCCTAAAAAAAGTTTAATTATATTTTAAAAATAAACAAAACAAAACAAACTATTAAAGGACGATATTATTGGATCTTTTTAGAAAGCGAAAGTGAAGAACTGCCTATATACAAATAGACCATGATGACAGAAGATAGTTTAATTATGTACTCGGATAAAAAAGTCGACAGTAGGACTGATAATAGAAAACTACAGTAACATCTAGCAATCTTACCTGACACATAAAGTCTATAGGATTGTTAACGCTTCTTAAAATTTGATCCAGCTCTCTCAATTTACTCTCACACTTAATCGGACGACTGCCTATGATGCTGCCGTTCTTTTCTACAAGGACATTAACGATTATGGTAACCTGCGTCAAAGCTTCGGGCATCCAGAATTTCATGACGTACGGGTTCCGTCTTTTTACCGTTTTGATCTCGAAGAGCTCGCCATTCTTTTCTACTGATATTTTGACAATATCTTCCTTCTGGAGGGGATAGGTCAGTAGAACGGAAACGCTATTCTGGCCCTAAAAATAAATCTCTTATTATTTACTGAAGATATTTGCCATAGAAAGTATTTTTTCCAAAGTAACAAAGTTAAGTCACATTTACGTCACACACAAGTGAGATATATACAATTAGTATCTGTCACGATGTCACGCTTCACATAATTAGTATTTCCCAAATTAATTCGTTACTAAAATAACACCTTTTGCATAAATATTTATTGATTTATTCCCAGATTTGTTGTAAATCTCGATCATATAAAAAGTTAATTATTTAATAAGTAATAAACTAAAAATATGTAACAATAAATTATGAAAAAGTTATAAAGGTAATCTCGAGAAGACACGCTGGGGCTTTTCTATTGCTTAGAGTTCTCTGTGTAGCATCCCATCACTATACGTATGCTCTGGTTTGGAATATTATTTGCAAAACTTGAACGGCTTTTATTCGATATACAGGATTATACTGATGTTATCTTTATCTTTTTCTTTATCGGTTATAAGCAGATAGTGTTAGATTTAGCCCAGAACACTGCGGGCCCTGGAATCTATTGTATTTCCTTGCTTTTCCCCTATTCAGGTACTATCTCTGGAGTAGCCCTGTGTCTTCTTTGGTTTGTTTTACTAAGTACCCTAAGTGTTTTTGGGGTGTTATCTTTCCAGTTCTAGGCCGAAAAGGGTGAGTCACCGCCTGGCAAGAGCTTCGTATTCGAAGATAACATGTTATGAGATTTCTTCCTCTTCCATGCAGTTTACACCTGGTGAGATCATTGCGTAGTCCCATTACATGAAGGTGTTTCAGCAAGCAGTGACCCGTTAGTATTTCCACAATGGTGGATATCTGAGGTCTTCTGAGTTCAGTAGCCATGCGTGGGTTTGTATGGGATCTATTAACTTTGGGGATCCCATCTTGTAAATAATATAGCGGTTTGTAAAAGGGTATATATTAATATAATAAAATAGACAATTCCGTCATGACAGAAAATTATATAATGGCATTTTTCTTTTTTTAAATAAATCTTAATGCTTGGCAACCGAGGTCGTCAAGTAGATAGATAGGGTGCACTTAAATCCTGCCTCCCACTAAGCTGCCTTAATAGCTAATATTGATATGTGTGGCATGGGTGTGACATGTATCAATATATTATGAGTTGGAGTTAGTATGTAGTGCTTCCAAGGCGCTACAGTTTGGTTCCCTTAGCATGAGCTTACTGAACCTGTGTCCTCTTATCTGATACCAGTGAATTTTGTGTTATGTGGTTATCCACCTGTTCACTGCTTGTCGAGCAGAGGTTTTGTTAATCCCAAATTCGGTTGCCTGTATTTCAGCCTGGAATACAGTGGTATGTTTTTCCAGTGAGACGGTGATCTCGCATTTGTGTTTAACTCCATATACGGCAGTAGTTCCCTTGTTAGTTTTAGATACCATACGAGACCGCTATGCAAGTATTTCTCTACCTCCTTATTTACTTCGTTCCAGTTGCATTTGATCTAGAAGAGTGTGTTAAAGGTTAGGCGGGATGTTATGTGATCTGATGCCATGTTCAATATGGGATCATTTAACTCACGTATTATTCTGGTATGTTTTATATTTCCCAGTGGGGTTTCTGGTTTACTTTTTGGCCACCAAAAAACCGCTCCCAAAGTTATCATGGGTCTTGTTATGGCCAAATATAGCCAATGGACCATTTTGTGTTTTAATATCTTTGTATTCACAAATGCCCGTCTCCCTATGAGAGAGAATTTACGTTTGTTGGTCACTTTCTGTGTGTTGGTTCCAAATAAGTTTGCTATCTAGCATTAGATCCAGATATTTTACCTGGTTTGTTCATTTTGCCTTCCTCCAAACAGGGTCGGAGTTTCTAAGACCACCAACCTTATTTTCCGAGTAAAGGTTATGAGTTGTGCCTTGTCAGGATTTACCAACAGGGTTTCCCTAACGCACCAGATTTCTATCAGCCTTAGACTTCTTTGCAAGAATTCGAAGACTTTCATTTGGTGTTTCCCTCGGATGACTATGTCATCAGCGTATTTTGGGGCGTACATTCCTTGATTGTTTAGTGTTCTCAGCAGTTCATTAGCCACTAGGTTCCATATTAGAGGAGAAAGGACTCCACCTTGTGGGCATCCCCTATGGATATTCACCATTTTCACTGAAAATTTATGCCTGTACTTGCCGTCCGCCTAGAATGTCTTCTATTCACCAGCAGATGGTGTCCTCTATTCGCTGTTTGCGAGCGGCAGCTACCATTGATTTAAAGAAGGTGTTATCAAAAGCTTTTTCTATGTCAAAAAATGCTCTTATGACTATTGGTTTCTGAGTTCCCCTTTATCTTGGTTACAAAATGAGTAGACTCACAAGATTTTTCTGATTGATAGGCATATTGCTTTGTATAAAATGGGTCTCTCTATCAGAGTGGTTTCCCGAACATACTGATCAATCAATTTCTCCAATCCTTTCAATGGAAATGACATCAGAGTAATTGGTCTTTAGCTTATGTCAGATGCCCTGGCTTAGGTATAAAAATCACTCTGTTTTGTTTCCAGGTGTTTGAAACATGTTTATGCGCCAAACTTGTGTTTACATTGCCTGTTGCAGAAGCACAGGGAATACCCCATCTGGTCCCAGTGATTTATATGAGATGAAAGTACGTATTGCCTATATTACTTTCTCTGTTGTGGCTAACCGTTTTACAGTTTCCCACTCTTGGCCGGATACTCTTCTTTGAGAGTTCCAGTTTGTGTAGGTTTGGTTTGCTGCCTTCAGGTTTGTTGTAAAATCAAGGAAATGAGTTTTTAAGAAGTAATTCTAGTATTTCCATTCCAGTTTAAGTGATACTGAAGTTACTTGTTTGAAATTTTTATTTTATTTTTAGTCCTCTTTTTGAAGGAGAAACAGTTGTTGTTGTTGTTGTTACTCTACAATTTTTCTTGCGGACGTACAGAAAACTGGTTAGAGTAACTCTTCTAATGAAAATTCCTAAACCACGGTATATTTTTTAACCGATTTTTACACGAACTAAGGTTTCTTGAAAAGCCAAATCAATGTGGAATTTATAAAACAACTCACACATTTGTTGTTTAAAATGGAACGCATTGTTTAACATGTCATATTTGTATGTGTTACCGAATACTTTCAAATGAAAATTATATTAGGCAATTATGATTTTAAATGAATGCAATAACCGACTAACCTGTCAAAAACGTAAATTGCTATCTTTTGTTATTCCAAAATTAAATGTAAAAACGTACGTAAAAATTGATTTTAGTTAAAGCATTACACATTGTATCAATTGTATCAATCTCTATTACATGTATTGAATGTAAACCAAATTTTAGTCTTACTAAACTCAAGCACTTATATAATAAATTAATAATGAGAAAATTAAAATATATAGGGTAAAATAAGATAATTAAAATACATTGCTTACAAAAGAATAGTAATTTAAGTATTATTAGTGTTTTAATGGCGTGCGTCACGAAACACTAATTTTGCCATGAAATACATATATTTTTATGCAACTGTATAAATAATAATGTCAATAAGTAAAAATTTTTTGGGAATAGTCTGGCCACGAGACAACTCTTATAATAAAATTAATATAAAATAACTTTAAGAATCGATATTTAGATGATTTGGGGTGATATTTAGGTTTTGATATTTAGGTTTTAGTTTTATTTTTTTTAAGTGGCGAATTATAAATGATTCCAAGCATATGCCAAACGGCTTGTGTGAGAAAATGGTGGATATTTATAGATTTTCTTGTCAGCATTTTGTTAAATAAATTTTGTATAAATAATATGAAGACCATGTCCAACACTCAATCAAGCCTTTTTATATATAGCCTTAGAATCACTTTTTCTATATAGTCTTAGAATCACTTTTTCTAAGCATATGCCAAAAGGCTTGTGTGGGAAAATGGTGGAAATTTATAACCTTTTTTTGTCAGGTTTTTGTTAAATAAATTATATATAATTAATATGATGACCATGTCCGACACTCGAGCCTTTTGTTATATAGTCTTAGAATCACTTTTTTTAAGCATATGTCAAACGGCTAGCGTGGGAAAATGATGGCATTTTTCATACAATTTTCCTGCAACTTTCCGACTCAAGCCTTCGTTTCGTCCACATCCGATACTCATGCCAATTTTATTATTATGTCTAACACATTAATAACATTCTATGGTTAAAAAGGCTTGCATGAAAAAATAACTCAAAAATAAAAAAAAAAAAATTGCGGTAATTTTTCCGACTCCAAAATGTACTTATCCATTCGCGCCATTCAAGCCAATATGTTTTTCGGGCTAGTGACGATGTATGTATTCATACTTTCGACGGGCTTGTGTGGAAAAATCAGGTAAAATATCGATTTTTCTTTACAAGATTACACCCTCATTTCGACCCTTTAGCCACTTGCAACATTAAAGCCTTTGTTTTTTTGAAGCCTAGTTCTATTAATTAATCATATAGTGAAAACGGCTTGCGTGGAAAAATAAGCAAAAAACACCTTTTATTTCTGTTAAGGAAAATCGAATTTTCCATATGTTATCCCCAGGGGCCATTCGTAAAATTCCTTTCATTCTACTCAAAATCGATGTACTTTTCAACCCTCTTCGAGGCTTGTATGCGAAAATGGGACACCTAAATTAGTCATTATCTGACAGTCTATAAGCAGCAAAGTAAATACAATATATTTGTGATGGATAACCCATAATAAAATCAGATTTTACTTATTTCTAAATATATAAATCAAAACAAGTACCTATCAAACCTCAAAGGTTTAGGACCTTCACGATTTTAGTCGATTAGTAGGCAACTTTGCCACATATCAAACTAAAAACGTAACGTTTCTATGTTTAAAAATCACAAATAAAATATTTTTTCTAGAAATCGGTTATGAATTAAAAAAAAATATGAATATAATTCACCCTCTTACTAGTAAATTTTAACACCTAAGGCTGAAAGCTTATGCGGGGAAAATGAATAAAAGTACGTTTACATCTGACATTTATTGCTTGATATCTATGTCTGACAGTTGTTTAGTTCTGTGTAAACACACAAAAATTTCTCTCCGAGATATAATATGTTTAAATGTTTACATTGGACTAAACAACTGTCAGACAAAAAGCTCATGTAATAAATGTCAGATGTGAACGTATCTTAAAACCTCAATGTGTAATATATAATTCCGCACTACTCACTTGTCGAATTTTTTTCGGAGTTACGGAAAAACACGATTTTTCTTGGGCAGTGATAGAAATTTGTTGTTTCCAAACTTTCGATAAAATAGCCATTGCTTGTGCTAAAAATTCTTTGGTAAAATTTTCGTCTTGGTCTTGTCCCACACACTGCCTTTGCCAATGAAAATATGTTGGTAACACTGCAAAAAAATCATTACAAAATTTTCCGACATTCTAATAAATTTAAACATAAATAACATCAGAGGAAAGAAAATATATATAGGATTAGGCAGAATAACGTATCCATTTTTTTAAACTGCACTTATTCAATAATATGGATCTAAATTCAAATCAAGTCAACATGTGTTCTTAATAAATGACAATTTATGACAGTTGTCAAACTGTTTTCAAGAAATGTCAGTTTAATTGTAAATTTATTGGTATACGTCACGGGACATAGGGGACATAAAATTTCCAACTTTAATAATTATTTATTTGGTCTCCTGTGATATCCGAACGGCAAAATTTTGCTAAAGTACATTGTAAATGTTAAAGTTTAAAATGGACTAATTTACTGCTATAGTATAGACTATTCGCTGTAACTACAACGCAATAAGTATGGCACTGAAACTTGGGATTTAGATTAACTAAATCACAGACCATACCTTTAAGAACTAAATAAAGAGGTTTATTTTTAATAGACATTCGTGGTGCCCTCTATGTCTCCGTATGCAAAACTAAAATGACATCCCGTATAAGATGGAAAAAGATATAAAATTGCTATCATGCGCCTTAAAACTTTTAGATAGGTACTGATATAATGAATATATCAACTGAGGATAAAAATTTTAAAATAAAGTTTAAGTTGTATAATAAAAGTCCGTTTATGAATTAAAAACAAAAAAAAACTTTTAACAAGGATGTTTAATTTAAGAAAATTTTACTCAAACAATGAAACACTTCAAATATTAGCTCACGGAGTCGGAAACTTTCCTTGTTGGATAAAGACCCCAACGAACAAAGAGATTATTAAACAAATTTTTATGAGAATGAGAAGTAACGAAATTAGAACATGTATTTGACCAGTGGTTTCCAAAATGTGGGTCGCGACCTCCAAGAGGGTCCCAAAGTGTTTTCTAGGGGTCGCCATGTTATTTTTACTTGTAATTATTTTTACTAAAATTTCACATGGAGGTTTTTAACATTTATTTATTACATTCAATTATCTGAGGGATCAGCAGATATAAGTTCTCAATTGCGAAATAGTATATTCACTCAGATGCCTTCAAAGCTTTGTGGTGCACTTGTAACCACTAGAAAAGGTGAAAATATACCGGCGAAGATAATAATAGTTTATGTCACAAGGACGAAAAGTTGAGTTTTTCGGGCGACTACGAGACGCTTAGGAGTAAATTATCATTAGGGGCACGCCCCCAGAAATAAGAGACTCAGCAAATTTGGCGTCTTTGAATTTGATTCCAAAAAAAATCAAAAATGGTATATGAAAGAACATACCTCAGAATCGGTATGTAATACTTTATAGGCCATAGCCGATAAAGTACTTTATGAAGTATATAAAAAAGTTCAACTTTTCGTCTGTTTTTGTTAACTAGTGAATGAATGAAGCACGCCCCCAGAAATAAGAGACGCGGCAAATTTGGCGTCTTTGAATTTGATTCCAAAAAAAAAATCAAAAATGGTATATGAAAGAACCTACCTCTGAATCGGTATGTAACACTTTATAGGCCATAGCCGATAAAGTAGTTTATGAAGTATATAAAAGAGTTCAACTTTTCGTCTGTTTTTGTTAACTAGTGAATGAATGAACACTAATCACAGGAAATACTTTAATAATTAACAATGATTGACAATTCAGATAAACTAGAAAAATGTCTGTTCTTTATACAAATAATAACTAACTTGATGTCTACAGGACAAGCATGTATTCTATGTAGTATTAATGAAATATGCTAACAGTTTTCTATCCGAAAAACGACGTTTTTTGACACATTCGAATAAAAACACTCTTTATGAAATTTAGGGACTATAATGAAAAAAAAAAAGCGCCTGTAGGGGGTTGTACAGATCGGGACTTCAAACAAAAGCAGAATAATTTGCTATTCCTTCTCAAGCAACGAGTATTTACCGCATTTATTCATCGATATGATCTTTCAGTAAGACTATTTCAGCTCCTCTGCAAGGGGGAACTTAATTATCTGATCCAAATTGTGAATTATATTATATCTGGAGCCCTCAATGCTTGCCTGTTTAATAGACTTTGTAAAGACATGAATTTTGATCATGATCTTCTTTTCTATACTAATGTAAGTGCGCTGGTTGTCGAAAGGAAGTGTTTTAGTGTTATGAATCGTGTCTTTGAGCTGAAAGATGAAATCAAGTCCAAGGGAAACATTATTTTTTGGCTCACTTTATTATTAAAACATAGAAGAAAATAGTTGTTTAAGCAGACATCTTAGACCAGCTAAATAAGATGAACCTGAATTTTTAGGTAAAGCAAACGCATCTTATCCAGTTCCAATACAATTTTGAACACTTAGTAATTTGTTTCTAAGCTCCAAAATTGGCATCGGGAAGTTAGTCTTGGAAACATTACCATGTTTGAAAAACTTTGCGGTGTGGTGTGTGGTAGAGGAATCCTAAAGATTGAAGATGAACTAGATGATGATGTGAAGAAAGATTACTGGGAACCGGATACCTTGAATCCCTTAATTCTCTAGCCGGAATGTCCGACAAAAGGCGGGCTTCGGAAAATTCACTTGTTCACATCAGGTAACAATTTTTATCGTTGAAACGTGTTAAAAATGCATTTGTTAGTTTACACTTTACTTTCTGGAATAAATTTGAAATTTGTACCGTATCTCGTTTTGGGTCTGTCGCCAAGTGAAGTTCATCTGTTAGTGAATGCACACGTATAAATTAGAGTTCCTAATATAAAATAAGTTTTGTGTTTTTAAATTAGAAATAGTGATTTGATTAAAATATTAGGAGCCTGCCTTTTGTCGGGTATTCACGTGTATGCTAAGTTTTCAAGCACCAATGAATTCACTTGTAATTGATACTTCTTTGTTTATTTTTATATCCGTTTCATTATTTATCTTTGTTTTATCATAGTTTAACAATTTTATTTCATAGTAAATAAAATAATAAATAAATACAGTGTTATTTAGGGTATTTATTTATTTCAGTGTTTTTGTACAGAACTGCATTCAAAAGAAAAAAGACAATAAATCAATTTGTTCTCTACACTGATGTTCGAAAAAATCTTTGCATTTTTTAAAATTAATTGATGAGAAGATCTCTGACTTATTGGATAGTGTATCGCATCCAGAATCCGAAGAACAGGGTGAAGATGATACTGACTTCGACGATGATGATAATGTCAAATATCAAGACTGGCAAGTCTCACAAGAAGACGAAGCAGTAGTTGACACATTGATAGAATTAGAAACCGATTTGTTATCAGACGTAATCAACATTAGTTTCAGTATGAGCAAACTTTACCAGCCCGGTCAATCGAATACTGTAGACGCTGCTCAAATTCAGCTAAAGATAAAATTCATGTACTTTCAATTCAATCAAAGCTCATAACCGTTTTATGTTTTAGATCTCTAGGTCGTTATTGGCTGAGCCAACACCACCTTCACCTGAGTCTGGTCAATCAAATCCATTAGAAGCTGCTTAAATTCAGGTATATTAAAAAACTACGGTGAAATTGACTGTCCTCGAATCAACCGGGAATACAATCATCAAATGGGTAGTGTTGACCTGATGGGTGGTGTAATGTGACGGTACCACATTCGTTTGAAGACGAAAAGTGCCTCCTTAAAATTAATCTTCTATCATATGCTGGATATCTCCTTGACAAATGCCTATCTTCTTTATTGACACGTTCATGTAGGTCGATCAGATTATTCTGATCTGACAACTTTCAGAACCGAAGTTGCTCGATAGTTGATGATGAGTCAACACTTCCAGATAGGAAACCAGTTGGTTGACCATCTCACGTCTCCAAAAAAGTAGCTAAACAATCATTTGGTATTCGTCACATGTATGACATTCCAGAGGATGCTTGGTTCGATCACATTGGTCATCGCCCAGATCAATTAGACCGTAGTTAAAAAAGAACGTGCAAGTTACCTGGTTAAAAATCTGCGACCCAGGTTTACTGCATTAAATGCAAAGTAAATTTGTGTCTAACTTCAAATAGAAAATGCTGGGCATACCATAATTATTGATTTTTTTTATACCTAAGTAAAATTTTGTATATCTCTCCTTTTCTTATTGTTACCTATTCTATTATTACCTATTATCGTGTTTTACTTTATATTACCTATGTATTTCACCTATTTTAGTGTAAAAATAAACAACATAATACTAAAACCTGTCTTTTATTTTATGATACGTCCTATCTATTTTTGCATCTGGAGATCAAACCACTTAACCTATCGAACAATGGACTTTATTTTCGTGATCAGTGCCCCCCCAAGTTACACCTATATAAAATTATGAGTCCAAACAAATATTCTGGTTAGAGGGTTAAAAAAGGAACTTTAGCGATACTTCCACGAGTTTGCAGGAGACTAGTAGATAACGGTTCGGAATAGAACAAAATAAATAGCGGAAAGATTAACGGATTGCCTAACTGTGGAGTTATGTTGTGATTTGTAAATTTGAGCGCACTTACGACCTGAGGTATGAAGGTTTATGTCAAGTTTAGTATCTAATCAAATATATGAAGTAAGCATTTTCTACAACGGCATTCTAAGACACTGTCATCTAGCGCTCCAACGCTGGTGCATCTTGAGCAAAAAATTGTAATTTTCAGTGTCAAGTTTTAAAAGTAAATTATAAATTTAATTTTTCTGAGCTAGTGAGTTTTTTTTATTACATTATTTTTTATCAATGTATATTATTGCATTCTAAAATGTTAATTACCTTTTTTATGAACTTCCGTCAAATCGTTATCATTAACGCCAAGTAATAGAGCCAGAGTCCTGTCTGCCAAAAATATTTTTCCTAGAGATGCACACGCGTCCGCATGCTCCGTTATGAAATCCAGAAAGCTTGGACAGATTACTACAAGTTGTAGTTTCACTCCTGAAGCTCCTGTGACTAAATCTTTTAATTCTTCTTCTGACTTAAAGATGATTTCTTCAGTTGCTGTGTATTGAATTCTTAAAAAGAAACAGGAAATTAGTATTTATAAATAAATAAAAATTTGTATATCGTTTTTTATTACTTATTGTTCTACTTACATACAGGGTGGCCCAATTAAAGTTTTCCTAGGATAAGTTTTTAGGGAAATCCCCTAGACCGGTCGATTTTGATTTCAAGGGAGACTTCTTTTGATATTTAATTCATGGATGTAGGTTCATCTCCCTGAACGGGGTGGTAAATCCTTCAAGAATACTAAATGCTGATATTTTTTTGTTATGTGTTAAAATTAATGTAAAACACGTGTTGGGGATGTCGTTGAAATAAATAGAAGAAAAAAGTTTCCAAACAAGTTATAATTAATCAAGTGTTCAAATCGCGACACATTTACTTTCATGCAGTAATAAAGTCTTTGTTCAACATTTCAGTGGATATTTCTCCACATGCTTGCACTGTATAGTGTGACGGGGCGCCATTCTGTTGAAAAAATGCATAATTTTCTGGAATATAATCGTCGTTTTCTAGAATCCCTATACTGCGAGACTTCAAATTGAGGTAAGTCTCAACCGTCAAGTTACCAGGTAGAAAAAATAGACAAAAAATATTATTGTCCAAAATCCCAACCCATACATTCAATTTTTCTGGATATTGTGGATTCGAATCACTGCAGTATCTGCAATTATGTCTGTTGACGTTACCATTAAGAAAGCATGTGCGTTCGTCAGAAAAGCATGTAGAATATAAAAAATTAGGATTGTTTAAAATTCTTTCAACCATCTCCTCACAAAATTGTATATGGCGATCTGGATCATCTTCACTGAGTTCTTGCACGAGATAATAATAATAATAATAATAATAATAATAATAATTTATTTTAGATTACACTAAACTACAATCATAATTACAATAATATATTGTTTCGGTAACAATAGTAATTCCTATAAAGGAAAACGGAATGAAAAAAATTAAAATATGTATATTTAATATATTAAATATTATTAAATTAAATATTAAATAGTATTTAAAAATATTAATAAAAGAAAATATTATGATTTAAAAGCATAAAATATAACATACCATAAAAAACGTATAATAAGTATCTAGTAAAATGGATCAGGTAAACTACGTATAATCAATTTTATAAATCAACTGTGCCGATTCCTGCACTAACCGACCTCGATGAGCAAGAAGACGACTCTCCGTTTGCTGCACCACTGACAGAGGAAGGTGAGACTTCAGAAGGTAATTTATGCCTTATTTTACAACACACAAACTCAATGACATTGCTTTCAGTTGAAGAACCTCCATCCCAGCCTGCCACAGTTTCAGCCAAACGAAGGAGAGTCAAATACATTGCTATCAGGTATTTTATTACATAGCATCTTCACAGTTTAATACTTCAACTTACTTGCTCTTTCTTACTTACTTTCTAGCTGACTATGTGTTCTTCCCACGATTTCTCCTCAAATATATAATGTGAAGTTACTTCTTTTATCTTGTAACTCTAAATATAATACATGAGTAAATATATTTTTTGGAAATGAGTACTTATTATTTCTTATTACATCAACATAATACTTATAAATCCTAAAGTCGGACTTGCAATAAAGGGAGGGGGAAGGAATTTAGGCTTGGGAAGGGAGTTTGAGAGAAAGGGGGAGTTGGTACTGTAATTTAGGGTTGGGAGGAGGAGTTTGAGAGGTGGGGGTTCATATTGACAGCACAGAGTTGTTATTATTGGTCAAATAAGCGTTTAGACGGAAAATGGAGAAATGATCAGTACATGCATGCGTATGTACTAATTCAAATTTAAAATTTCGATGCTCACTAAACGCAAAATTTGATTCTTTACAACTTTTGTTCTACGAGTTTTTCACGTAGTGGCTGTTTTCACATCACAGATCTCTAAAAGTGAGTTTCTTGCAGTTTTCACAAAAGTTGCTAAAAATTGACTTTTTTTGACTGACGATAGCGACCTTATAAATCGGTCCAATTTGAAAGTTAGGGAAGTTTTTCGTCGCAAAATTTTATTCTCTTTAATTTTGAATAAAACGACATTTTCTGTACGATGCATCGTTTCCATGATATGAGCGGAAAACCAGAAAAACTCCGAAATTTCGGGGATTTTTGCGTTTTTCGAACTTTAGCGGCACTTCTACGAGGCAGCATACTTCAGATTCGTATTCAGTACTCCAAAAAACATATAATTCCGTTGATAAACTTTCTACCGCTTTCATGTTATCGAAAAACTACCATTTAATCAGGCTAAATACTATTCCTATTAATTTCAAAAATATAATTTTTTAGAAGTTTTTTAAATTTGTGTCTATTGTTTATTTGTTTAAGTGGCTCAGGAAGTCTATTATATAGTTTAGGTGCTTAGAAAAGTTGGGAATGTTGCGTAAGAGTTTTAAACATGAATGGAACACTAAAAAATTGTTGTTGGCGAGTGCTATAATTATGTGAGGAAGTTGTAGCAAATTATTTTTTGTTGTAATAACTTATATTCCTTTCATAGAAATATAATTGCCTTACATACATAACTTGGGATTCACAATATAGAGCATCAGAAGGATATCGAGATTTTTTGTTATAAATAACTTTTAAGAAGCGTCGTTGGATAACTTCTAATAGTTGTATATGAGTCTCTAAAGCATAACCCCAAATTAAAATTACATATCGTAAATGGCTCTCAATTAACGCATAATATAATAACTTGAGAATTTGCTTAGGTACTAAATCTTTAAGTACTCTAAATTTGTATTATATAATAGTTTTTTAATTACATGTAGATTATGTAATTTCTATTTCATGTGCTCGTTTAAAATGATTACCTACTAAATATTTTATTTTATCTATAGGTATTCAGGTTTCATATGGTTGTTCAGTATTTATCCACAGTCGGTTAAATGTTGGCAGATGAATCTTATAGGAAAGGAATCGATGCTTCTTTTAAATTCTCTGAAGACTACTACGTGGGATTCCTGAAGTTGCGGGTGCTTGAAATAGGATCCAGTTCAAAATGACTCAAAATTGCAACCTGTGCAGTCTTGTTAGTAACAGTGTGTTGCCTTTCATGTTTTTTGTTAGCAACGGATCCGGTCTCCATGAATTTACTCAATAAATTTACTAAGTAGGGAAGGCCGAGTTTCTTACCAGGATGCCTTTCATTAAAAAATCTTGTAGTTTCCTGGGCCCTTTTATTGTTGCTAAAATAGAGTGCCACAATTTCAATTCGTTCTGCTGTGGTGCAAACCATGATTTGGATCGTTGCTTCAAGACAGCGAATAATAAATAAGTGAATTTCTCTACACTAGACAATAATTGTGATTAGTGTAGTGTCAGAATGCAACTACCTGTAAAACAGTAAAAATAAGTCACATTATCGTGGGTTTCCTGATAAAAACTTAATGTTTTGCAGTTGAGTTCTTCAATATTATTGTTTTTTTTTTGTCAGCTTATTTCACCCACATTCCCAACAGGTGTTTTACATTAATTTTAACACACCAAAATGTCAGCATGTTTGAAAAGAGAATTGAAATACCTTTAAAATGATGTGCCACTTGACCTCTCGTGCCATTTAGTATTTAGTATCCCGTTCAGGGAGATGTCCCCCTTGAAATCAAAATCGACCGATCTCGGGGATTTCCCAAAAAAAATTCTCCTTGGAAAATATTTCAGGTGGACTGTTTTAATTGGGCCATCCTGTATAAGTTAATCAAAATGAATGAAATATAACGCGTTTTTCTCATTCAGATTTTCTGTATTTTGAAATCTTATAAATATGCAATCAATCAATCAATCCATTTACAAGAAAACAGGTAAAAATAACTTACTTAAACGGTTTCCTGTTAGCATGTTTGCTTATTTGCTGGAAATACGTCGAAAAATAATCCACCCACAATGATGCTGCGTCGCTGCTTTTCAGGGACACTATTAAAATATCGTCCATGTTAATGTTTCTAATATTTCCTGTAAAAAAAAAACAATACTAAAGAACATATATATTTATGACTTATGAGATAAAGGAGAAAGATGGGCAGCGGCACTGTGTATCAATATCTGCAGTTAAGCAAGACCGCACGCAGTTAGTACTTGGATGAGTGATCATTTTAATGAAAGTCGACCTAAACAATTGTCCGTCTAGTTGCATACCACAGCTGGCAGGTGATATATGTACAGGGTGTTTCATAATATATGCGCAGGACTTCAAGACGTGATAGCTCGTCCAAAAATATGAAAAAACGTTTCTATTAACTTACCCTCTAAAATGCACCATTTTCGAGATACAGGGTATTGAAATTGAAAAAAAAAAAAATTCTACGCCACTGGAAAAAGTACGGTTTTGAGACGCCCATTTGAACCGCCAATGTTTTCTACACAAAAAAGGTACTCTTGGTCATACGCTCTAAAGTCGACCGTTTTCGAGAAAAATCTAATTTTAATGTTAAAATACACGGTCATACATACTTGATGAAACAAAATTTGATTTTTCTCGAAAACGGTCGACTTTAGAGCGTATGACCAAGAGTACCTTTTTTGTGTAGAAAACATTGGCGGTTCACATGGGTGTCTCAAAACCGTACTTTTTCCAGTGGCGTAGAATCTTTTTTTTTCAATTTCAACACCTTTTATCTCGAAAATGGTGCATTTTAGAGGGTAAGTTAATAGAAACGTTATTTCATATTTTTGGCGAGCTATCACGTCCTGAAGTCCTGCGTATACATTATGAAATACCCTGTATAAATAAGTACGAGGTATAATGTGTGATGTGCCATCTTTCGGAGGAGATATAAAGTCGTCTGTTCCGAGTCCATAAATGTTGAGCTTGGATTGGGAAAAATTTCTTGTATTTGGGGGTAGCGCTCACCAGCGTCGGTATTTAAACTTCACATTTTGATATAGGCCGACGTTAAATAACTTAAAAAATAACAGAACACTAAAAGATGGAAGAATAGATAATAGAAAGAAAAATATAATATAGGAGGCAAAAGTAATAAGAAAATAAGACACCAGGCCAATCAAGAAGAAGCTTTTTTCTATAAATAGAAAAATTCATACAAGAATGGCTTGTATTCCCGATTTGTATTTCAAAATATTCGTTTTAAAATTATAAGTAGTAGATTGTTGAAAAATTGAGACGGACGTATCTTATATACAATCTGACTTTAATTGTTCCGAATCCTTCTAGCAATTACTGTAACATTACATTTACCATTTTCTTTCATACGGGGTTTTATAAGCCCTCTCTATACTAGAGTCGGAGGTAATAAGAACTGGCTGGCTAATTACAACTACTATCGAAAGAGAACCATCCAAAATATTTTTGTATAATGTACAAATAATCCCAAAAAGATGTAAGATAAATTAGATCGAAAAATTAAGGTAGAAAATGACATAGACAGTACCTTTGTGTTACTTTCATATTTAAGATTATTCGGTATATTAGGTACCTAATTCAAAATTTCTAATAAAACATTTGTCTCTAATTCACAAACCAACGACTTAATTTGGACTATAAGTATTACACACAGTTTTGTAATCGTCTATTATTGGGAATTCAAAAATAATGAGAAAAGTGTTGCTCTATTTAAAAAAAATCACCGATAACGGCATTTGCACGAAAGGGGTGACGTCATTAGTATATCCAATTGTATCGTGAGACGTGCAGTTAAAATTAAAAAAAAAATGACCATCTGTGAAAAATTTTTTTTTTTTTTATTTAAATACTGTTAAACAGAAAAATATCGAATTTATTTCTACCTATAATCCTTACTGCATAATATATAGCATATTTTTAAAGGATTCTGATAAAAAAGTTGTTCCGAATAGTTTTTGACAGTCATGCCACTATTCCTCCTTAACTATGAATACTCCCAATCCTTTATCTATCAAGATGAAATGCAAAATCGTCGGCTTACTATCAAAATCAGAGCAGAGTGATTTTACATGAGACACGAAAAGCATTAGGTTTATTTGTCTTATTATAAGATAGGCATTTTGAAATACGACAATGCTCTAGATATGGAGCTTAGAATCGTGCTAGACTTTTGCTGAAATAATAAAAAACTTCAAAGTACAAAAAATAGAGGTTTCAACGAAATACTAATTTAATACATTATAAAAAGATTAGTGTTATTTTCTTAAGTAGCAGTAAAAAAATAAGAATCACTAATAATGAAAAGTGAATAAACTAAACAAACTCAGGCATAAATTAATATCGTTTCTCTACTAATAATTGTAGTAAAGAAATATAATGTTAAAATAGTTGATAATTATAAAATAAAAAAGAAATGTATTACTTAAAAGGCTGGCCTGGTTGATTTTGAGTTTTTTTTACACATAAACATAGAACTCGGTACAACTAATGATACAAAAAATTACAGTATGATACTTAGCCAACGAAATCTCGTAGAGTTCACGCATGACATATTGTGGTGTGAAATATGGCTGATTCCATGAGCAGATTAATGGTATATTACACACCGAGGTGGGAAGAGTTTCATCCCTGTCGTGAGATTAGTAAGATCACCGAGGGGCGAAGCGATCTCGAGACAGGAATGAAACTTCCTATCGAGGTTTGTATACTATTTTATTTACAACCATCATATTTCGATCTAAGTTAATAAATCTTTGTTTCGTTCTGAACATACCTAAAATATTACATTTAACGACAAATTACCAAGCGCGCGGTTTTCTCAGAATAATCAAATAAATATATTGTTACTGTGATTACGAGGTGAACAACTGTCACCAATATAAATAAATGTCAGATAAAGCCGGATATTAAATTCGCGAGTAATAAATATCAATAAGTAGTTTGTTGTATTTTAGTTCATTGTTATTTTTTATTGTTTGCCATTAAATAGGTATTATAAAATTTGTCAAAAAATGTGTTATTTTTTTTAATATAAAAAGTATTCATCTAGAATAGATGAAATGAGAGCGGGAAGTAGAGGTGTGTAATGTGACACTTCCCAACCTTCAATGACGTTAGTAATGACAACATTACATATAGGGTTGTAAATAAAATTTATTTCCGTGCGCTGTTTTCGATCAGCTGATTCCCCAAATTCGTAAACCACAATACGTCATCGTGACGTAGTATGGATTTTTTATAGTATCACTAGCTGACCCGATCCCGCTTCACTGGAATTTCTCAAGCCTTAATTATTACTCGAGCTAAATGTTTTCATGCGATATCTGCCAAATTTTTTTTATTAATTTCTATTATTTTTTAATATTGTTTTTTAATTTTTTTAATTTTTATTAGTTTTTATTAACTTTTATTACTTTTTATAAAGGATTTGACTCACCCTGTACATATTTGTTTTGAAGTGAACAAAAATAGCGCGTCGGCATAGATATGTTGAACATCGAAAAAAATTTACTGCAAAAAATCAATACGATTTTCATAAAAAACTGGTTATAGCGTGTTAAATAAATACCCTGTGTAATCCTATACTATTTGTATGGTTATATTGAGAAAGGGTAGGGAATTTCAAATAAAAAATAAGCTACAGGGTATCCCATTTAAAAAAAATAACTTTTATATGTTGTTTATAGTTTTGGCTCTACAGACCGAGGTGTTACCAGTGGCCCACCCTGTATATTTTAAAAATCTAACAAATAAGATATTTTTAATTGAAAAAGTAAGTTATTTCCTTGAAATCATCTATTTAGATATTTTCTTTCAGTACGGTGCTGTAGTTATGCTGTCAAGTTATCTTTGGTACCAATGTAAACATCAACCATTTGGTATTAGGCACTATAGAGAAGCCGAAACATCAAAATATATAACTACTTTAATTACGAAATAAAAGATAGCAATTAAAATAAGACATGCTCTATAAAACCCTTCGTTAACTGAAATTTTAATCTAGCTGAAAATTTGATTTCCGTTATTAATCTTGACATATACCATTGACGAGATAAAATACGACCACACACAAAACCGATAAACATTGTATAATAACTAATAAGACATTAAGCAAAAGTATGGGTGTAAGACGGTATTTTTAGAACCAATAACAATTTTATGAACTACCCAAACCGCAAAATGTTGTTCAACATATGCACGTATTGAACTAATAATAATAAAAAGATTTATTTATAAAATGAACTCGATACGGATGTGAATATTAAAAATGTAAAAATATGTTAAAATTAGAAAATTATTGAAGAGTACCTGGTTTGAGAAAAACAATGGTAAAACTAATATTAAAATAATCGAAGAGTAAAGACTATCATGAAACTGTGGATAACAAATCTTTTAAAAAATCGCTTTGTGAAAAATTATTATCATTATTATCATGGATAATTTTTCCTACCACAGTTATTAATAGAAAAGTTTCATAAGCTTTGCAGACTAAATCGAAATTCCAAAAATGTTCTCGAAGAAGAGGAATAAGATTTGACAAACATGCTTTTAAAGTAAAGGTGTTGAATTTTTTTGGCATGGATAAGCCATTAAATAATAGATACGTAGTATATGAACTACATACATACAGATATTGCAACTGCTTCCATATCATTGTCAGTACGTACAATCTGATTGAGTGGGTTTGGGAAATCTATTATCATTGTATCATTGTTTTAGTATGATTTTTAAAATTTAATATTCAGAAAATTTTTAATCTTGCTTAAAGTTAATTATTATTCTTATTATTTCATTATTATTACTTTTACCCGATTTCCTTTTAAATCCTTATTATCCTGTCCTACAATAGTATCCTCAGCAGAAAAGAATACTACCATTTCGATAAGTACATTATGACAATAAATAAAGGATACCGAAACTCAAAAATTAATTTATTATTAAAATATCAAAGTATGATAGGGGAAAGCGGATCACAGTGGCTACATTTTGGGTTTGTTTTTTTTTTCTTCATTGATATTTAGTTTACAAAATTATAATAAATCTAGTTTCTACCACTTATAAAAATGTATTTAACAAAAAACGAATTATCCATGACGGTAAAAATATTGATTATTTTAAGAAATTGAAAACTGGCCACTATACCTTATTCTCTGGGAGGTACACTGGTCTTAGGGTAGAGCGAAAAAAAAATATTATTTTTTACTATATAATTCCTAAGAAAAGTTGCTATTACTATTTTCTGAAATTTGAATTTAAAAAAATGCCTTCAGGGCTTTACCTCCCATCAACAATTTTAAAAAACAAAAATTTTTTTTTAATACAAACTGAAAGTTGCCTTTACGTATAGTAAACTATTTTATAAAATTTCGGTAAAAAATAAATATATCTTCAGGCCTCTACCTTTCATCAAATTGAAAATAAAAAACATAACATTCTAGTAAACAACATAAACCAAATGCACCTATTCACAAGTGCATGGCATCAAACTTTTACATTAATAAACAAATCCAGAAAATTAAAAAAACCAAAAAAGGTTGACAGCTGTGTGCACGTAGTTTAGATTCAAAAAGGAAAAACTTGTATTTCGTGCACGAAATACAAGTTTTTCCTTTTTGAAATCCAGAAAATCCCAAATATTATGTCACGAAACTCTTCAAACTTGTTCAATCCAGTAAAGACCAGTTTATTATCGTTTAGACACGGCGAATTATGTAGCTCTAAGCTGAACTCAGTCTTCTTTTGATAGTCGCGGAAGTAAGATCTTTGTTTTAAGTTGTAATGAGTTTGTCAGTGAAGGACACTAGGGGCAGTAGGGGAGCTACTGGTGCACCAGCGAATATACCCTCTAATGTTTTGCCAACTATGGAAAATATCATAAAGCGATATTTGGTTATTCGAAATGAACTTAAGGTTAATACAGGGAGGAAGAATGGAATTTTGCGGCATCTAGAAACAAAACTGAAACGTCCTCTGCAGTAGATGACATGTCAGTTACATATAAATGAACTGCCTCTTCGTCATATTTTTCAATATCTTGACGGAGAAACTTTAGGACCTCGTGTATACTCTGGAGCTATAGGAAAATTGTTGGAGTCTTGCGAAAAATTGCCCGTTGTAAATTTTGTTCCTACTGTTAGCCCTTAACCAGTATTAGACGCTGCAGCTATTAGGAATTTTAGCACTGATCAAAAGTACTTAAATGAAATGTGTCACTCAATTTCTAGAGGAAACTGTTCATTAGATCTAGCAGCTCGTAATCCAGGTAAATTATCACACGGACGATGGCTTACAAAGGCAAACCGTATATTGCGTCTTTACATCGGAAGTAAATGTCCAAATGTCCGTCTACAAATTTAAGAACAATCGCTGAATTTGTGGTAAAAGTGTATGCGCCAGTGTGGTTTGACATTAAAAGAAAACCATCGTGTTGTGATGGAGGAAGACACGTCTTCAGAATGATACAGTTGTCACGCTACTTGAACAACGAATTGAAGGCAGTAATCGATCCTGTTATCAAACGAAATGCGTATATTTCTCATCCGGAGAACCTTTTTCTAGCAATGCTTCCTGATGATCGTCCTGCTATAAGACAACTTTGCTTACGAAGAATATTGAAGGCGCGCACAAAAATATCTACAGATATAAGGGAATTTGTTATTCCTAAATTAGATTTCGATGCCAGTGAATATTATGAGCTTATTAATTGGCAAAATAGCTCAATTACAGCACCACCTCTTTTAAGTACTGCAACTGATGGAGATATCAGAGAATTTATAAACGATACAGGAACTTCTCTTGTAGATTTTGTGTCCTGTCCCTGCATACACAGGCAGTAGAGAGGTACGTGAAGGTTGTAAGAGAAGTTTCAAATTCTGTTGTCGGCCATTACTCTGGAGATGGATTTATTTGTGCAAAGATTCATTCTAGAACCATACTACCTCGATTTAACACTAAGGCGGAATACAGTGCATGAATGTCATATACCTATTTTTTTTTGTTTGCTCGTCTATGTTATATTTGTTAAGTTGTACTCGCTTTCGTTTATAAACAAAACATATTTAAATTATTTTATTTTCATTTTTATTAAAATATTTGCAAAAGTGATACTATTTCATTTATTACTCCGTTTTATTAGATTATTCTGGAAAATACAAAAATTCAAGTAGATGTAGAGCCCTAAAGATGACATTTTAAAAATAAAATAAAAATAGCCCGTTCATCATTCTTACATTTAGCAACTTTTCCGCACTATAATTGAAAAATCGAAAAAATCGAAAAATCTAAAAATCGAAAAAATCGAAAAAATCGAAAAAATCGAAAAAATCGAAAAAATCGAAAAAATCGAAAAAATCGAAAAAATCGAAAAAATCGAAAAAATCGAAAAAATCGAAAAAATCGAAAAAATCGAAAAAATCGAAAAAATCAAAAAAGTCGAAAAAATCGAAAAAATCGAAAACTCGAAAAATCGAAATATCGAAAAAACGTAAAATCGTAAAATCGAAAAAGAAATTCCGTAACGAAAATAAACCTAACACTCCCCACTCGGACCGGCACAGCGGTGCGGCGTTAAAAGCCGTGCATCGTCTAACGTCGTTTCAGTTCGGCAGACTTCAGAACGGTGTTTGTGTGCGTGCGACTAGACGTATGCGTGTAGACTAGCTGCTAACTGCTCATTACTGATTCAGAGGATATCAAGTCTCAAACTTATGTTTCTTATTTCAGTTACCATAAACCTATAGTTTCAATGATAAAAATTCCTGAATAACCTACATGTATTGTAAGATTTTAAACAATATTAACTTCTCATTTATTCAATATAAGAAAAAAATTTGTTTTCTTATCGGTCACCACGCTCAAAAAGTGTAACTTGAATTAATATCAAAGAAAAAACTTGAATTAATATCAAAGAAAAAAAAACTGCATAACTAAAATAAATAAATAATTATAACTGCATAAGTTGATAAAAATGCTATGCAATAGCTTTACCGCGGCAGTCCCCGAGTGCCACACGTATTTTTTAGTATAATATGTTAATAATATTGTGTACAAAACTTAAAAGTCTAAGATAACTTTAAATTATAATGGTATAAAAACAAAACTGACTTAATTTTTACAAGTTTTTCATGGAAAAATAAAACAGTGATAAAAGTAATACGCAGATGACCACCATCTTGTTGCAAGCATAATAGAGGCTGACATAAAAAGAGGCAGGCGTAAATTTTGAAAAAATTGTTTTATTGCTGTTTTTAATTCTGGAACTATTTTTGGAGCATTTCTGCTGAAAATGCTATTTTTCAAAATTTCCCAGATGTAGGCATCAGAGTGAGTCAAGTCGGGACTATGTGGTTGATAAACGAAGTCAGTTTTTCTGAATATTATCCTGTTATTGGTATTAGCGGCATTACTTGTTGCCCCGTCTTACTAAAACCATTGTCTTCAATAGCAAGTTCCTAACTTAATATAACATAATCCGGCTATCCCGGAGCAGTCTGCAGCTGAAAGTTTCGAAGTGAGCCATCAAAATGAGCCCTCGAAATAAGACCTCTTTTAAAAAATGAAAAATTGGTGATATTGAGACAATTTAGACTGACATCGAATAACGCATACAAAATTTGATAGAAACCAAATCACTTCTTTTCGAAAAATAACACAAAATAACACGTTAAAAGTTCGATTTCTTCAAAACAAAAAAATACGGGTAGGTATCTCTATTTTAAAAGATCTCTCTACAATATTATTTTGGCAGCGACGTTTAGAATCACCCTGTTTAATAAATTTCTACCTGAAGTGTTTGAATCATACATTTGAAATAAAAGTACGTCGTGTAATTATAAAAGCTCCTCGGGACATAAAAAGAAAAGAAGAAAAGAAAAGAGCAGCGAGCGATATAATTAGAAATTACAAACTCCGCAAACTTTTGAGAATACTAACGAATGAGATTCACGAGAAACTGGAAAATTTCATTATTTTACCCAAGCAACAGGTTATTTAATATACAAAAAAGTGTCTTATTTGTAGAAATAATGTGTTTATTATCTGTTGTTCTACCTTATATCCCTTTACAATTGTTACTATAACCGCATGTCAGAGTGAAAAAACATTCTGTATTTAACTAAGACTAAAATATTTTTTTTACACCCACATGGATTATAGCTTACCTACGCACAGATTACAAAACAAAAAAGAATGGTATTGCCTTCAACTGAACGAATATATTTCACATTCATTCTAGATAGTAAGAACACTGCAAAAAAATTAAATCCACCAATCACAGTTCATGTTTTGATCAACCGACTGCTATTATTTTAAAAATATTAAATCAGTGACAATTCTATTAAACTAATTGTCAGTATATTTTTTAGATATTGAGATTAAACAAACATTATATCGTTAATTTAAATAAAACTATATGAAGTCAAGAGTATTTAAGAGTATTAAAGCAAAAAAACGCGTAGATGGTCCTGTGGTCAGCGTTCTTGACTTCATTATGGAAGACTCGAGTTCGAATCTCAGCTGGAGAAAAATAAAATTATTTTTTTCTTTTTTTCCTTTCTTTATTTTATAAATTAGTAAAAGTCATAAATTATTTTTATATTAATTATATTATCTTAATAATCTAAAATAATTTTTAATATTTGTAGATTTTCGTTAGTGGGTCTTAAAAAAATATATTGTACAACTCCACTGCACTCAGACGATTGAGCACTTCGCCTATGGTGTCGTGGTCAAATTTTTTCTTCGTGCGATACGGCCATCATATCCTATCTTGTTGTACAAACTGCGCAATGGAAAATTCCGAAAGTCATTATGGTTTTATGTCACTTTGTATTGGCGTATAAGTCTATTGCCCAAATTTTCTAAGGCACTAAAATATATTCTAAAAAGGCTAAACTCTCCTATCAAAAACCATTAAACCGTAAAATTCTTCTTTTAATCCCCTCTCTTACTTCTCACCTTTCGTCTCCTCGCCCCGTCCGTACAAATACAGTGTATTGATTATCGAATTAATCTTGGCATCGTGAATGTTATATTTTATCAATGACTGGCTATATCTTTGTTATCTCTGATTGTATCAATTGTTAGCAATGTTGCCGGTTCAAATTCTATATAATTCATTATAAAAACATACTTTATAATATAATTATTAATTTGATGTTTGTAGAATGTCACTGACCTTGTATCGTATAGAAATATCCATTACATTATAAATATATAGTGATATTTTACATATTTCTGTTAATAAATAATTAGCTTGACAACACCGTCTCCATATTACCAACAACGAAGAGCTTATACTGAAATTATCTAGAATCTATTCTTACAAGTTGGACAGTTCAACCAACCAGATAAATAGTGTTTTCAGTTACGCATAATCATTATGATATTTTAATAATTGGAACACTATTCGATTCAATTTAGTGAAATGGGCATGTTAGCGGAATTTATGAACATATTATTGAACTTTTAGTATTCTTTTTAAAACTGAGGGCGCTAGCCAAGCCTTAAAAAAACATCTAGTTGCAGCTTATGGCCGTAGGAAATATAGTTTACATAACTTGTTAAAAAGTGTATTTCCTCTAATCATTACGTTTTTGCAATCTTGTAAAATATATTAGGGGTTAAATGTTCCGATTTTCATTGAACCATTGAAAAATATATCGAAACAATGTGCAATCCCTGTGACTTTTGTGGCAATGAAACATAAATTATCGTAGTATCAGTCTATATAGCTGATATTACAGAACAGTTTTATCTCGAGAAATTGGAGCGGCACAACCAGCCACTCGACGGGGCAGGCTATTCCGTCATTGGGGAAAATTGTTCCCCCCACACTTGTATTACATTCCGTTCGAATAACGTAAGATTAATGAACAAGCCAACTGTTTTTTCGAATTAATTTATTATTAGATAAAACAAAATACAAAAGCAATCGGTAAAAAATTTCCATGACACCAATAACAAAAAAAAAGATTATTCATCATTCTCATCATCTGAATTGCAATTGGGGCAAATATAAACTTCAACGTCATCTCTTTTTAAGCATTTTAAGTGAGCCCAATTTTTGCAAATAACTAATGCATTCAATCCACTTTTCTCTGGGTTTCGGATTTGAATAGGAATCGTAGCAAATTAAACAATACCATTTTAAATCATCTTTTTCATTATCGCTTTCATCGCTTTCTTGGAAAACTCGCCTTTTCACTTCGCTTTTTCATTTCTCCTGTATTCTGCCTCTTGCTGAGCTTTTTTCCTTGCCTTTTGTTTTGCGTCGCCTAGAAGTAGTCGACAATCTTGGTGGTGCTTTCAGGAACGGTTTGACTATTTCTGGAGAAAATGTTACATGATCTATTGTTATTGGTATTGTTAGCGGTTCTGATTCCATCGATAAGTTGTTGTTAGACGGTTCTGGAAAACATATGGACTGTCACACAGTGTGTTGTGAATTATCAATATTAGAGGGCCCAGGCTGATCATTCAGCTCTGTTTCCTCATGAATGTCAGCATTAGGCATTAGCCTATCCATCACAAAAGATGGGGCGAAGTCTTCGTCCGTAAATATGTTGGGGTCGAAAGGACATATTCCTGCTTTCTTAAATGAGTTGCTGCTAAAGGCCATGCATATTTCAGATTTCATGGTAATTCATACAGGGTAGCTGTTAAAGATGGAACCAAACCTACAGTGCTTAAACGGTTCAACATACAAAACCCAAAATTTCAGAATTTCAACTAAATATATTTGCGCATATTTTAACCCAAAAATTATTTATTTGTTTTATAATTACAAAATTTTAAGCATGGCCGCCATCTTGATTTTTTTAAATAGCAACATATGTCA